ACAGCTCCTAGGGCACAGCACAGCTCCCCAGGGCCTGGCACAGCTCCCCAGGACATGGCACAGCCCGTTGGTCATGGCACAGCTCCTCTAAGCATGGCACAGCCCCCACTGCCAGAGAGGAAGGAGTGTCCTCAGTCAGAGGGTCTCATTTTGAGGCGGTGCTTTGTGGAGCTGGCTGTTGGACTCCACGATCCTTAAGGCTCCTTTCCAACTCGAGCTTTTCTATGATTCTATGAACCATGAGGAGAATGAATCAAGACGCTGACAGCATCCCACCACGATGCTCTCCACGATCAGCCCAAAGCAATGGGGACACTGCCACCCATTCCTGCATGGACCAAACACTGGGGGACTGGTGTGTCTCAGCACCAATGAGGGAAGCTACGCTGCAGGGTGCTGCTCAGAAGCTGGAAGGCACCGGGGGGAGCAGGTCTGCCCCCAACAGAAAGGGGATGGGGTGGCAGTTCCATAGGCTGGAATCGGCCCAATGGGGCCCAGGCTGCCCAGGAGGACCCCTGGCATCGGGCTGGAGGGGCACACATGCGTGCAGTGCATTCCCAGAGTCACTGCTGAGAAGGAGAGCACGTCTGGGAAGTTTCCCTGAAACTCAAACGAATTTTCAAATTCTATTCCCTTGGAAGGAAGGATGTGTCTGTGTCAGATGCCAAATCAAGGGGATTCTTTGTGTAGGAAGTGTAATTGATTCCCATTTATTCCGCATCTGTATTTCTTAAAAAAGGAGCTCGTGTTGAGTCACGCGCCGGGCAGGCGCGTCGTGCCGCCTCCAGCAGCGGCACCTGGAAGGGGCACAGTCTGTCCTGCTGCCAGAAACACTGTGCCACCGCCTGGCTTAATTCGGGATCCGAGCAGTGCAGGCAGACACAGCTCTGGTAGATCGTAGAGTCAAAGAATGGCTTGGGTTGGAAAGATCATGAAGCTCCAGCCCCCCTGCTGCATGCAGGATCACCAAGCAGTACAAGAAAGATGCAGAGCTCTTGGAACGAGTCCAGAGGAGGGCACTGAGATGTCAGAGGGCTGGAGCAGCTCTGCTGTGAGGAAAGGTTGAGGGAACTGGGATTGATCGGCTTGGAGAAGAGAAGGATCCAGGGAGACCTCATGGTGGCCTTCAGTGCTTGAAGGGAGCGGATAAACAGGAGGGGAACGGCTGTGTGTGAGGGTGGGTGGTGGTGGGACAAGGGGAATGGCTTTAAAGTGAGACAGGGGAGGTTTGGGTTGGATGTGAGGAGGAAGTTTTTCATGCAGAGGGCGGTGAGGCAGTGGCACAGGTTGCCCAAGGAGGCTGTGGATGCCCCATCCCTGCAGGCATTGGAGGCCAGGCTGGATGTGGCTCTGGGCAGCCTGGGCTGCTGGTTGGTGACCTGCACACAGCAGGGGGTTGTAACCATCATTGTGGTCCTTTGCAACCCAGGCCATTCTATGGCTCTGTGATTGCATGCTGAGGTTTCGTATTTGAGGGATGAGAGATGGTGGTGCAGAAGAATTCTACAGGAACCCGTGGGCACCTGGGACCCCTGACCCCACAAAATGCTGGCCCTGCCTGGGAGCACAACCATGCGGTCACACCACGCTCTGACTTTAATTACTAAAGTGATTTAATTACTAAAGTAATCGCAACCGTTTCCAACCTTCCGACAGCCAAGGAACCCCCTGAAGGCTCTATCTGTGCAGAATTACCGTCAGCACAAACAGGAGCTGTGGTGCAGATGGGCTGCCAGGAGCCCTACGTGGCTCTTGAAGAAGAGCATCCGCGCAGGGTGCGAATCTGTTCACTCCTCAGCTTGTTCAGCACCTTGCAGAACCACTCGGTCGGAGCTGTTCGAGTCAGATGGGCTTCGTTGCGGAGCACCGCACGGCTGCTCTTAATATCTGTGAGTGCAGAAAGTCTGACCCTCAACGTGATGCCATCAGGATGACTGACGACGAGCTGTGCACATGATTCGTAGCTGTGCGTGGAGGTGTGAAAGGCACTGAACACAAACAGGGAAATCTGCAAGAAGCAAAGCCAACGTGACAGCTGAGAAAGTGAAAATGCTGCCACCGAGGCAAGTTGTGGAGTGGTCCATCAGCCCCATCCCTGCAGACACCCACGGGCAGGGGATGGGGCTCTGAGCACCTGATGGAGCTGTGGGTGTCCCTCTCATTGCAGGGAATGGGACCTTTAGAAGGCCCTTCCAACCCAAACCGTTCTGTGATTGCTAAGCACCGAGATGAGATTTGTGAAATGCAAGAAGAATTCTTGGTGATTCGTGTCCTGTTTGGTAAGGTGGCAGCCTTTGTGGGACCCTTCCAAATGCTGGGGAGGGTCTCATGTGGAGCAGTGATATGTGAGGAGTGGGAGAGGGCTGCTGGAGGCAGCTTTCCGGGAGCTGAAGACAAAGACCAGCAAGCAAAAGCTCTGAGAAACAACCCAGCACAATGCAAAGCCAAATCCGAGGAGCAGGGAGGTAAAATCCAGCTGAATGGCTGAGACTGCATGAGAGCACGGCGCAGATGAGAGGGACGTGGAGCAATCAGAAACTGAGGAAAATGCAGCCAATAAGACACCTGTATTGCAAAGGTGGGCTCCTTCTACATCCCAGAGGAAGCAGCTGCTGGGATTTAACACGAGATGGAGGGCCTCCAACTAAAGGGAGGAAAGCTGGTAGATGCAGAACAGCACCTGCCTGGGGATGCTCACACTGGAGGGGTAAAGCCAGAAAGAGACCAGACAGAAGCTGGCCATCAGATGTACAGCTGCAGACAGCAGTTGCACAAATGGAACTAGAAAACAAAAACCCCAAACTAAGGCAAATGTTTCTCTGCACAGGAGCTGGCAGTCAAGGGGATGCAATAAAAGAACCAGAATCCCCATTTTTAGTGGAGCTACTGATCCAATGGGCCCTGGGTGAGACACTGAGAGAAGGTGTGACACAAAGCACCTGGGAAAAGGCAAACTCACTCCTGACCTTGTGCTGAGCAGCGAGCATGGCAGGGCTCATAATCTTGTTAATTGGAAGACGTTAATTAACAGTGACCTGAGTGCGGTGAGGCTCGTAATGCTGCAGGCTCAATGGAAGCCAATGAAGTCACCAGCACTGCGCCCAGTTTAACAAAGTTCATAAAAACTAATTATGGCAGTAAGAAGTGACCAGTGGTCAGCTGAAAGCAAAGGCACTGCTGGTGTCCTGGAAACTGTGGGCACCTTATGGGCTCAGGTATCCCAGGAAGTCTTGGGGGAGGCTTAAAGGAAGGCAGCAGGGCTGGGAGCAACGGGGTGAGGAAGGCTCTACAAGAAACACCAGGCAAAAAGACAAAGCTGTATTTCAGCGAGGAAGAAAAGCCTGAAACAAAACAGAATGAATCATGCATCCTTTAAAGTTAAATGGGGGGGAAGGAAAAAAAGAAAGAAAGAAAGAAAGAAAGAAAAACAAACTCACAAACAAACAAAGAAATGAACCAAACCAAAAAGGAACACCCACGAAAATGGAGCCGCAGGAGCGATGCACCCGAAAACCAATGCGTCATTTTTCAGAAACATCCAGAAAAGAGCATTTGTTGGGAAGTTAAAATGATCAATGGATAACCAGGATTACAAGAAGTGCTCAAAACAGGGAACGAAGCCAAAATCTGCTGGTGATGTTCACAGGAGATGGGACAGAATCCGGCGCTGTGCCCGCAATGGGGATCCTTGGGGATCCTCCCGAGCGCGGAGCTCTGAGAGCCGATGGATGAACCAACCAGGGTGAAGAACCTCGGTGCAACCCTTCCTCAGATCAGCTCCGAGCACCAAAGGCTGCCAAACGGGCCATTAACCCAAAATATTGGGGTAAATGGACCTTCCACCCAACCCCCTCACCAGCTCCATGCGGCTGCACGCGCTCACGGCGGCGCTCCAAGGCCATTCTGCCTCTCCTCATTTCCAGCACTGCTCAGCACTCTGTAACCCAGTCCCATGGAATTATCGCCCCTGCTTGGCACTGTTTGACCCAGTGCAACTTTTTATCTTGCAACCAAACGAGCGTTGGGGCATCATTACAAACATTTCAGCTCTTCTGAGTTGCAGAATGAAAAGCTGGAATGCGTCAGAGGTCTGCAAAGGAGGACACTCCTTTGGAATGGAGGTCCACTCTTTTTGGAATGTCTCCCATGAAGAAATTGCCACCCACAGTAGGGAAATCCCACTGTAGGGAACCTTACTGAGCACACGGGGGTTCCCAGAGGTCCCTTGCAAGCCCTTCAGCCCTGTGACTCTGGGAAAATCAAAGCAAATCAAACTGGGAGCACTGGAGTGGAAGCATCACCGGTGAAATCAGCTTTGGCAGATAACTGTGTGCTCGCTGCTGAACTTAGGATTCCTCGCTTTAGAATTGCTTAGATTGCTTGTTCTTAGTGCTCCCACTGGAAGAACTTCCCTTGCAGCTCCTAGGGTCACTTTCTATTTTCCAGATCCATATGGAAGAATGATTCCAACTCACACCTGTGCCAATATCCACCGTCTCTCGCAGCATCACAGAGTGGTTGGGAGGTGGGAAGAGCCCCCTGGGTCCATCTGGTCACCCAATGCCCCAGCAGGGACACCCAGAGCTGGTCCAGCCCCAAGCCCACGTGGACGTGGGGATCCCCAAAGAGGACACCCCGCAACCCCTCTGGTCCCTGTGCCAGGGCTCCACCACCTGCACAGCACAGAGGTGTTTCCTGATGCTCAGAAGAAACCCCCTGTGCCCCAGTTTGTGCCCAGTGCCTTCGGTTCTGCACTGGAACCACTGACAGGAGCCTGGCTCTGCCCTTCCCTTCAGGTACTTACAGCCTTTACTGATGCTCAGTCCCACCTCTGCCTCCAGTAGGATAACCAAGCCCATTTCCAGTGCCTTTGTAACCATTAACCTTGCTGCAGGGACGTGAAACAGAAGGAAAAGCAATTCCTTTCAGCTATGAGACCACGTGTGTGAGGATGCTATGAATGCTGAAAGCAGAGGCAGCTTCAAAAAGGGATCAGACAGTCTCCAGGGCTGGCTAATGAGAACATTTGCCCAGACACTGGAATGGAGGTGTTGCTGCCCCACGCCTTCCAGTGTCCAGGAGGCATTTGGACAATGCCCTCAGCAATGCACTTCAACAGGTTTGCCCTGCAGTGGCAGTTGGATCAGATGACCTCTGAAAGCCCCTTCCTGAACTATTCCATCCCATCCCATTCTAAATTAAGTTTTCAATAAGGCCTTGCAGGATGTTGGACAATGCTGTCAGCACTTGCCTGCACATCATTCTGGCTGTCATTTTCTGATTAATGTTCCCAAACATCCTCCCTTAAAGTTTCCAACAGAAACAGACAGGGCAACTACGAATTCATAGTAGAAATCTGTTATCTTTCAGACACGTCTTGCTTACATTTCCATCTTACTTGCAGCTCTCCCATTCTGTAAATTCCCCCTGACATCCCAGCCCTCCTAAGCACCAACTTCATGTCATCAGAGCCCAAGAGCAAGCTCCTGGTGCCAAGGACACCAGAGATCACTCTGAAGACCCTCAGCAGCACCGACACGAGGTGGCTTTTCCTACCAACCTCCTTCTGTTCCAGCACTTCCCTTTCAGCAACCCACTGCTCTTGCACATTCAGACCACTGCTTATTTACATCACAGCTCTGCATTAATGCCACGTTCTCCAGGAGAACCATCTGTTTAATGCAGGGCACTCCATCAGATGTCCTCTATCACACCAACAGATTACATCTACTGTGTTCACCTTTCCTGGGGAGCTGTGCTTGAATCCATTGTATATCCAGGAGGTTTCGATTTAGTGCTGATAGAAAAAGATGCACAAGCTCCTTAAAACCTGAATCATGGATCATGGAGATAAAGAGCAAGCTACAGTAAATCATTCTGACAGACAGAGAGACAGACAGATAGAGAGGGAAAAATGCAAATATATATGGATATGTGAAGGATGTGCGTATACAAACGTGTGCACACATATCTCCACAGCACTGTAAACATCAGTGCCATTCCCCATGGGTGAACGTTCCCTAAGCACTTCTCCATGGGGTGCAGCAATTCCACTCAGTGCCTCAGCCTTGGTGGAGCCAATTCCCAAACCTTGAACACATTCCAGGCACGCTTTCTTCTGCTACCAGACAGGACAGCTGCCATTCCATCCTGACCCATCTCACCCCAATTCCATTCCATCCCTCTCCATCTTGTCCTTCCCCATCCTCTCCCATTTCTCTCCATCCCATCTCATCCTGTGCCATCCCATCCTGTCCCATCCCATCCCCCACCCCTCCCGTTCCCATCCCATCCCATCCCATCCCATCCCATCCCATCCCACCCCATTCCATCCCATCCCATCCCATCCCACCCCATCCCATCCCATCCCACCCCACCCCATGATCCCCTGCCTTCTCCATGCCCCAGCTCTCTCTGCAGCATTTGATCCAGGCTGGAGATGCTCATGTCCACATGTTCTGCCCCTGCACAGTGGGTCACCTCCCTGGCAGAGCCTTTCTCCCCACATCTCCTGCTGCACCTGGGACCTTCCACTTGCTTTCACACGTAGGGAGCTCCTCCTCTCCTTTCACACCTTCTCTCACACCAATGTCTCACATTCCACGTGTGATCACTGCCCTCTCACACACCATCACTGCTAACCACGACCTCCTGTGCTTGTCCTCACGAACAGACTCTGCCCCACACTCAGGGCAGTGGCAGGGTGTGCTGATTAATGGGCTGAATAAAGCTGTGTGACACTGCCTTGACAGCAGCCATCAGGAGAGGATCATCTCCATCACCACCACCACCACCTCCCCACACCTCCGCTGTTCCTGGTCTCTGCTGTGTTTCCAGGTTAATCATTCCCTCCTACCAACAGCAAATTGCAAAGAGACAAAGGGTGACACAAAAAACTGGAGTCTGCTTGCCATCCCCAGGTAGCATCACAGAATCATAGAATGGCCTGGGATGAAAAGGACCACAATGCTCATCTCGTTCCAATCCCCTGCTACGGTCTCCAGCCAC